TAAGGAAATAAAAAACTAAATATTTTAGAGGATCTGGATATCTATATACTTACATCTTTACCTCTGTTAAATATGATTTAATTCTAATCTGACTCTGTGAAAACTAGGCTCTAAAATTAGTTTATGATTTGAAATAGTCTTTAATTTATGATTTCAAATTCTCTTTGTTTGCTAATTATTAATTGGAGCAACATGATGTAATTAGGTATTATAGGGAAACAAAATGTAGATTTTATTTTTTCATTATACTTTTATTGGATTACTTGAATTCTATTCGGAATATAACAAAAAATTAATTTTGAAAAATCAATAAATATTATTATAACGGAATTGACATAAAATACTTGAACGCGAAATAAAAACAAAATCATATCCAGCCGCATTATGTATTCAATAATAATTATTTTAGTATAATGCACAAAAAAATAAAAAGGAAATAGGTAAAAATTATTATATGCTAAACGTCCATTTAAATTTTTTATATAAAATCCATATTTTATGTTGAAAACTTTAAATATTATAATTATCAAAAATACTAAACCGTAAATACCATACGAAATAATAATTAATTAAATTTTTAATAAATAATAAATTTAATTTTAAATATTTTTTGTGTGGGTTAGTTAATTAAAAGGATACAGTTGGGATTGTAACTTTTTTTGTTACAATAGCAAAATAAAATATTAATTCACCACAATAAACCAAATCACTTTACCTAAAAACATTAAACGCGCGTTTTACAATAGTTCATGTTGGCTTCATCAACCGAAAGAACATTTGTTATATACCCATAATTAACTATTAATTGAATATTTATATACTATTTTCAAAGTTATTAAATAAAGAAATATAACTTATGCTGTAATTAGATCTTGCTACATGGATTTTTTTGTAAGTGATTAAAAAATCGTCTTTTTAAGTATTACGATAGTCTGTTCAATATTTATGAACAACAATTTTCTAAGTATATAAGTACCTATATTTTTTAACACGTGGCGTACTATTTTTTTAGTACACGTTTTATCTTACATTGAAATATGCAGCATATAGATTTTATAATCTTAAGATAACTGATACCGTTAAAAATGATGCATGATGAATCCTCATTAAATTTAAATTTGTCATTTATTTGATCTGAATGTCCTCCAAGACCGTAATCAATTCTATAGTTTAATTATTATTTTAAATGTATTAATAGTTAAAATATATCATATAATAAATACGCTCTTTAAAGAAATTCGTATTAATAACTAACATTCTGATATCTGTATTTATATGTTATTTAAATCACATGAAATGAAATAATTCCGTAAAGATACACTGTGGCTTTAAATTTAATAAATTATTTGGTAAGTATTGGTGAAAATAAACTAAAAAATTAAAGCAGTAAATATGGAATAATAAAAAAACTGATAATAATTAACATTTATAAATGTATGTTATATCAAGCATAAGCAATTCAACTTTATTTGGCGGCATTTCATTAGGTATTTTAATTCTTATTATAATATTACAAGAAACAGAGAGAGAATTTATTATGGTCATCGAATAATAGATATCATAAAAATACGAAAAAATATACATATGTAATAAGTTTCAGCAGATATTTTTAGGCTAACAAGAGAAAATTTTTTTATGATATTTCATAACTTTTATATTTACCCCGGTATACTAACATCTATCTTTCTCTTTCAGCATCCGTTCTCACCCCTTCGAACTTCCGCATTCTGTCGCCAGAGCGCGCCATCTCCCAGCGTCACCCTGTTTCAGCCGCTACAAAAACCACCTCCCGCAGCTACGTGCATTTGTCCACATGAATCTTAAACGTCGAGCTTCGACTATGCGCCGCTAGATGTCTAACGTCCTGTTGCCACGCTCGGAATATTTGCCCCCACCGCCGCGGCGTATTCCCCTCGAAGAGGCGGGGCAATAACCCCGCGCGCTATTAGGCGTGTCATAGAGGGGTATCGTTTCTGTCGGAAGAGAGGGGGAGAGGGAAATGGTGTGTGTGCGCGCCAAAAACAACGGAAGTGGACGACGACGGCAAAAGTGGTTACTGTCAAGTTGAATGTAGTTGCTACGAAGCTTTTCGTGGACTGTAAAGTTTTTTATGAGGATTTAAAAATGGAAATAGGTCTCTTTGATGGAACAGGTGCTAAGGTGATGTGCGAGTGTGGAAACGTCGAACCAAGGTAATTATTTTATGATGTCATTCTTAATTATTGCGTTCGTGTGCCGGCATTTGTTGGACGAGCTGGATTTTATTAAAAGGAATTTATTTTGACATTTTGAAATTCTTGTTGTGCGATACCTCTTGATATTATGCAATGTTTTAAACTGCGAATTTTTACTACTGGATAGAGGTATAATGCAGCAAAATAAAACACCACAATGCGCCTAAACACTTTACTTTTGCACTGGACGCGTGTTTTGCTAATCATGTTAGCATCATCAGCCAGGTGATTAAAACTAAAGTTCTATTTTAAATTAATGAATTTTAATCATGTGCTAATGATGATGCTAAACATGGTTGGCGAAATGCGCATCCAGTACAAAAGTAAAATATTTTGGTGTATTGTGGTGAATTAGCGTTTTATTTTGCTGTTGTAACACCAAAGGTGCCAACACCCAACTGTAAAATAATGCATCTTTATTATTATTATTTTAAATTTATTACTGTAATTGATTTCTCAAGAAATTTAATAAAAATAAAAAAAAATAAAAAGAGTTACTAAAAAAATTAACTGATATTATATTTAGGTATAGTTATTGTTATAATAAAATTTTTGTGTGTTTAAATAGATTATTATATTTAAAATTGGGTAATTATTACAATAAAAATAAAACAAAATGCCAAGTATTTAAAAACATATATATACACATATTAGGAAAAATTATAAAACATATAGTATAACACATTAGTAAGTTATGAAAATAATGCTAATTCCTAAGTGAGAGAAAGTTCGAATGAAAAGACCGCCTTGACTCTTAATCTTATAAGTAATATATATTTTTTAAATGCCTTACTAGTATCGAAGACAGTTCCTCATTATCATCAAATTTAGCCAAGCATAAGGAATAAATTTATGATTATATTTCGTTAGTTATTAAACAAATAACAAATAGAAAAAGGAATAAATCGTTTATCTTTTTTATGCCTCTAACTAACTGTTTCTTTTAACTTAATTGCCAACTCTAGTACGGTATATTCTTACCACTGTTTGCAATGGCATTAATCTGAAAAGCCGGATCTAGATATTGCATATCATCGGTTTCGAATTATAAGAAAGACAATTAATTTCATAATTATCATTTACATTTACAGCTGTAAACAGTGATATCAGATTAAGGTATTTTATTAACTTTTTTTGCTATAACTTTGAGATAACTATCAGATAAATATGGAATCTAGGTAAAACTATTCCCTAAAAGTACTTGAAAAAACATGTGTCGTGTTTTGGATTGGAGAAAGAATTATAAATATATACCTATAGAATTTAATAGTTACAGTGTATTTGTAATTAATAATTTAGACTTTTTTAAAAACCTTTTAATATTTAGGAAACGAGTTTCAAATAAATATGTGTCTTAAACTTAAAAACCGTTTATTTAAGAAACATGTTTTTGTAATATAAAGACGGCATATAGTACAATAAGTGCTAGTTTATTTTCTTATAAATTTATAACCGAAACTTTAGATGTTACTTCACTAATTCTCGAACAAAAAAGAAATATCTATAACGTCTAATTAACACGACTAAATAAACAAAAGACGGTCCTGAAACAATGTGTCGACGTGACACACCAGCCTGTGAAAACAACTGACAAAAGTTTAAAGATGGTCTCCCTCCGCTTTGACGCATATGACAGAAACCGCCGAAGCTTTAATTTAACGTGCTGAAAAAAGACAACATTATTATTAAACACACATGGTGGCTATATGATGTAGTGTCATTGTCCCCATACGTATGCAAATGAGAAGATGAGGGACCGGTATTCCATACTAAAATTTCGGTTACACCGTGTCTTGAAATATTGATTTACAAAATTGGATAAATAGTTGTGAATTTATAACAAATCTTAGCTACGTTTGTTTAATTGTAATACTTTTGGTTTAGACTATTTTTTTTATAAATATATTTCTTTTGGTTATATTGCTGGGGCTTCTTTAGAAATAATATGCTTATCATACTGATTTCCTTTTCCTCTTTATTACTTTGAGATTATTAAGGCAGCTTTAAGATTTTGATGGTTTGAATACGGAATATTTCTTTTTAAAAGCAGATATTTTTAACACATAATTATAGGCATATTTAACGTTCCAATTTTGATTTAAATTTTTATGTCCATTTTGGTAGACACTTGTAATTATTTTAAATTATCGGATTAAGAGTGAGAATGTCAGTCATGTCGGTTTATAATTTTAAAAACTTTCTTTAGTATTTTAGGGCAGGAAGTGGGTAATAGATGTTTAAAAAAAAACTTATTTATCAATAGCTGTAATAAAGAATTCTAATAGTTTTATTACCTGCATCGAATGGCGGTTATCACAGGAAAAACTGGTTTGATTCATCCGCATTTTTCGCTATGGCTCTATCTATATCATATCTACCTATACTGCCATTATATATAGTAATTGGTTTGTCTTATGCAGATGTATCAAATGTGTGGCTCCATATATTTTTTATCAAGTTTTCGAAGATGAATTAAAATTAATATTCCGTTGAACTTAATGATAATTATTGTAAATTAAATAAATTCCTATAATTATTTCAAAGCACAAATTTGGATATTTTTTACGAAAATGTTAATAGCAAATAATAGCCTAACGGGTTAATTATACGGATGAAAAGTAAGTTAGACGCAACTATTTAACAGGATAATAATATTTTATAATACCTATTTTAAAATTAAAAGAGGTCTTATAATATGTGAAATTATGAAAAATATAACTAATAAGTTATATAATATGTTGTATAACATAGTATCGAAAAAAAAAAACGGCGATCAAGCCAACGGAGGTTAAGCCCTTAGGTGAAACGTCATTAACTAGCCACGTACTCTTCTTTATATTGTAATGGCGCTTACTGCCAGTTGGCATTAAAAAGGTTTTAATTTAATTTTAGGTTTGAGTAAAAATGATTTTTAAATGGTGTACATTAAAATTCTTTTGACAAGCTTAAAATTGTAATGAACCCCAAAATTGTATAACACGCTGCTGCGTTTTGCGTCTAAAATGGTACTGGCATCATGCTGTATCTTTTATTGCTATCAATTCGTAGATCTTCAAAATAGATGCTTCATTTTATACGAAAATAGAGAACAAGTGTGGTGGTAATTGTTACAATTTGTGTCAGAAAATATTCAGATTTTACTCGTTGAAAGTTAAATTAGTTCATTATTACAAATTGTACCTCTACTAGCTATATTTTTTGATACAATTTGTTGTTACTAGACACCGAGTTGGGGAAGAATAATAAATTAGCTAATACAACAGTTGCGTGTCATATATTTACAAAAATCTAAGTACAGTGTTGTAGATTTTCCTATTAATAAGTTTTTTTCAGTGTAAGAATATACCTACACACCAACCCTCCTCCTCTCCGAAACAACAAAAGAAAAGAAGGGAGGGTTTTCTTTCTTTTGCTCTCACATGCACGTTCTCCAAACAGCACACTCACTCACACACACATCCAGCCAGCTTTCCCGTCCTTTCCATGCGTCGACCACTATACAAAACTCCTCAAGATATTTCCCCCTACGACAAACCGTTTTCTGATATACCGTTGTTCGTTTCCTTACAGATCTGCCCCCCTCGCCGCCACGCCGCCCCCACTCTCTTATCGGTAGATGGCGCAGCACGCAAGCCCGTTCTCCCGCCGCCGCCAACTTGGACGAAACTGTTTGCCAGTGCCCGTTCTCAGTCGCACGACGCAGTCCCACTGGAGCATGGCTCGCTCCACGGAGAAGGTCTTTGATCTTGCAGTTGGATTGATGGCCATGTGCTCCAACACACACAGACAGAACTTGGCACTTGTTCCCTCAGCCAGATGTACTTGTCGTTGACATCGACGATCCGGATGACAGTGATGATGCAGTGCGTGATCGTGTTTTTATTTCATTTAATTTCGTACATGTGGAAATCGACTGGATTGTATTCGTAATTTTAGTGCAACGCTTTGACTCTGCTGTTGCGCGCGTGGTGTTCAACAGGGCATCGTAATTATCTAAAATGTAAGTAATATTTTTTATAGCTATTTAAATTTAACCGCTATACTTGTTTTCGCTGCACTTTGTTACACACAAGTACCACTCGTTTGACCGCGGGCGTAAAAATAGAATGTGCTGACCTTGAGGTTCTTATCAATTTTCAAAGGCTTGTAATAATTCGTTTTTATTGGGAGAATGACGTAACGGATTTTAAAATTTCCCTTGCAAATTGTTCGTCAAAAGTTTGATTTCCAAAAAATATTCGGTAAAGCCAAATTAATTTCTTTTCGGCGTTTATACTTTAATGAAAAATTTGATTATGCTCATATCCTTTGAGCTCTTTTAATTTTTTATCATATTTGGACAGAATTTTCTTTCACGGTATATTTTTCTGCTACAAGTACTGAAATTTATAACACAGACATATTGTTTTATAAACAATAAAGTTGGAAAATAGGAATTGGAAATCAGGCATTTAACCAATATAATAACGTATTGACCATTGAAAATCGTGAATCGAAAATATATGTATATGTTGGGACAGCCCTGTTGATAAATATATCAATCATGATAAGCATGTAGAAACTCTACTTAAAAATGAGTCATTAAACTAATGTGTGATACAGTGAAGATATCATTACAAAGATACAGATAATGGCAAAGTTATCCCTCTAGAAACTAGTTAAAAATGATGATTAGGTTTCGAAGAACGTTAGTATTAATTCCAGGAAAAAGAATTTTACTAACCGAAAGTAAAATCACTTTATGGATCAATAAATACTATTAAAAACTATACCTAAAAACTAAAATTGCTATACCTAGGTAGTTGAAAACAAATAATTCAAAGCTTGGGTCAATATGACACGAGTTAAATTTTGGCACCCTTAATCATAAAGGTGACGATCCTCACCACTACTCGATTTCAGTAGCTGTTAGTTAGTTGCTTGTCATTCATTGAGTGTGGTAGAATAGGAGAATATCAAAGATGTAGAAATAGATAATACCAAAATGCATTAAAGCCGACATCGCCCGTGTACTTACAATAAACTTAAGGAATACTTAAGGGAATCTACATAATCCGCTTCGACATTACCTAAACAAAAACGATGTTATCTCTGTCCAGCCAAAAAGGATATAATGTCTATGGAAAATGTACCGACCCATAGGTACTGATTGCTCCAAAATATTGGTACAAATTGTTTATAATGCAGTTAAAACACCATAAGGAGGGTAAAAACAAAAGGCAGAAAAGTGAGTTGTCAGTTTTTATATTTTTGAGACTACATTTGATCATTTCTCGTTTTTTAGTACCTTTAGAGTGCATAAGTTTAAATCAGAAGCATGAAATATGAGTTTTAAAATAACAATATTTTTTTCTATACAGGTATATATTTTAAGACCGACATTGAAGTTTTTTGCTTTGAATAGTTTTAAGAAACTGTTCGCGTACACTTTCTGCAGTTAATAAAAAAATACACTAAAATGAAAGATCCTTTACGATTTATTTCTTAAAATTCATTATAAATTTTAAAAAAATCTATATGGATCAATCTGGTCAGGTACCACGTACGTAAAACTACGCTCAGTAATTCAAGTGTTAACATCCAATTAACCTGTGCTACTCATCATTTAGCTTGTACCTGTTGAGTCGTACTTACCGCACAATAAAAGTCTACAAGACTCCGTATCGCTTTTGTGGCAAATTGTACTGTGGTACCTGTCATCCCGCAACGAAATGTGAAAAGATCTGTCAATTGCGAGAGCGATTTAACACAGATTCGAGGGGATTTCAATAGAAAAAAGGCAAAGTGGGCAAATTCGTCGATAATCTAGGTAGAAAATATCGGATAATCGTTTGGGTGTAGTGGATGCTATTGAAAAGGAGCGCTGAATAGAATTGCTAGCGGAATTTGGATCTTGAATAGAGCCCGGCACACCCGTAGGTTGTGTAATAATGGGATGTGGCTTTGAAAAATGCGTTTTTGTACATTTCGTGCCCATTGTGACCGTATATTTGGGGTTTTGTCACGCACACAATGCCGTTTGTTAGTTCTGAATGGATATAAACAGATATCGGCACTCGATTATATCATAAACACGCTCACAGACCCAAATGATAATTTAATAAGCCTTTTCAGATATTAAATTGCATTAATGAATCAATCAACAACTTTATTTAATTTATGAAACTTGTTAAAAAGTGTCATCTTCATTACATTCATTGCGCATGAAATAGTGACGCGGTAAGGAAGTTATTAAAAAACAAATTGATCTTCGTCGTGGGTAAGAGAGAGTCAAAGAGATCTCGAGGGAAAATTTAGTTCAGATTGATGATGGTAACGACTCTTTACAGGAAATCCGGTGAATTGATCAATTTAAATTTAATGACGAATGAAGACGTTAACAAAAAAACGAAACACACTTTTAGTTTTTTGTCTACACAGATTAATAAGTTAACTGCTCGTTTTACAGTAAGTTTTTATTGCTGAATACCCTTCGACAGTCACTAAATCTAATTAAGAGGGAAAGTCAAAAAAAAATTATTTTCATATTGGAGGTACCGTTTATCGAAAAAAGAACTGGCGTCTAGTTGGCATGGAACGACGATCGTCAGACCTGGAGTGAATGGTTGTACCAGAAACAGACAAAAATCATTTTTTACACTGTTTACAAGGCGTTACCCTCTTCCATTTTATCATTATATATTACATAAAAAATGACAACGATCTTCATTTCATAACCATCGCCGACGCCGTTTGTAATAGGTTACCTCCTACGATAGGCGGCCAACAAATCTCTTGAATGGGGGAGAAACTCACCAGGATAGAGACAGGCGAAAAAAAGTTTATTTTTTTAAAGAATATTCGTCAAAATTCACGGCAGACCTGATAAGCAATGACAAAAAGACAGTTAAAGCTGTAGTGAGTCTACTAACAGGACATTGTACGCTAAATAGGCACCTAAAGCTAATGGGATTGACGGATGAACTCATGTGCAGGTTCTGTCAATCTGAAGAAGAAATGACAGAACATGTTTTATGATGGTGCGAAAGCCTGGCAAATGTTGATCGGCCATTGACAGAGAGTTCACTCTCCAAGTTGCTAGACATTTTGAAAAGGATAGGGCTGGTGACTGTAACATAAGGATCGAAACAGGACCACAATATATCTGAAAAGATCGCAGTGGATCAGGCCGGTGTCACCTCGAAGAATTTAATCTAATCTAATCTATATAGAGGCACATTATTATTATTTTTAAAGTATATGCAGATATCACTTTTCATTGCAAAATCCATTATTGATAACGTTTTATTTAAATTTATTCAAGAACTCTCAAAGTTATTCTTTAACGATTAAATATATATTATTCATTATTCATAATTTATATTCATATAGATTGTATAGTACTTCAGAACGAGTGAAGTAATGAAATTGCATTAAAAATATTAGATAAATTAGTAATTGACAAAAAATTGAAAACAATACTCTTTTCAAATAACGACTTCTAGGTAATGAGCGTCATGTCATTTATTTTCATACATCATTTATTTTAACCGAAAACTTTGTTAATAAGATCATTGTTTTACCCAAAAACAATTAGGCGTAGATGATATATTGAGAACTCCTTATCAAATATAAGCGAAAACAATAATTTAATGTCACAAATCGTTGTTTAAAGGAACATTGTGACCGAGGTCAATTCCCAATCTAAGTTGACATCACATTTAATAGTCGCAAGTAAAAAATCATCACGTTAACTATATGAAATGTCAAAGGTAATTGTCTACATGCCTCACGTCTAATCTGTCACGAATTTTACTCTGCAAAATTCTCGGAAGAGTGTCATCATTATTTTTAAAATGAGAGATGCAAAGTTTATTATGCAGGCACGGAGATTAAAAGCGATATTAACTGAGCGAGACCTATTTATAGGTATGACTCGACAGCTAGTATTTTAAAACTGATTAGAAACCACGTTATGCTTCCCATATGTACAAAACTTTTTTGACTGCAACTTGGATTATTTGTGACGTGATATATTATTCGTTAAAGTACAATAGTATGGTAATTTTAATAAACTCAACGAGATGATTTACCAAAATAAAGTAAAGTTAGGTGTAACTTAAGTATATTAATTAAAATTTTCATAAATATAATCATTTCATAAATAATAAAATAAATGTACTAGAAAGAAATTTTAAAGTTCATTCTTGCTTGTTTACGTACTCATTGCCGTTTGAAGGTTTAAATCTATACAGATTTATAATATGTAAAAATTGAAAATGCATAAAATATAAGTAATATACATTACTTATATTACCTTTGTCGTCTGTCTTATAAACTCCATCAGAGAGAGACCTTGGTGCTCGGTCAAAAAAACAAGTTTTACTGTTTTATCTCATGACTTATATTATCCTCAGGAGATAATTCTCAATGAGCACCTGTAGATTAAAGCTAAAAAATAACAGCGAATGCAGATTTTGTGGGGAAAATGGGGAAACACCAGAATACCTCAACACTGAGTACATCCAGATGACAACCATTCGTGCCATAAACGTTGGTACGACTGGTATTGAAGAGGGAGAACTAACCTCTGTAAAACTGTCTCAGATATTGGCTTTTGGCAAAGCCCTCAGACTGTATGATGAGTTATAACACAAGAAAGGGGGACACAATTGACACAATAGATCTGTAATGTCGCGATGATTAATTCCCCTCCCATATATTCTAGATTATATAAGGAGATAATACCGGTCAGTAGACTGATAGAAAGCATTTTCTTTACTCTAAGTTGCATTCTAGAATTGACTAAAGTAAAATAACTCTAGTACTGTTATAAGTCCTTATTTATAATCAATTTTGATAGTCTTTTTATCATAATATCGGTGAACTTTGGCTTTAAATTAAATCAGTGCACGCCGCTGCATTTCCTTGGTTGCATTTCAAGGTCTTTACTCTTGCTTGATATTTATTAGGCGGTTCGAAGAAAAGACGACAAGTTAAGCGGGCAGCTGTGTAATGCGG